AAAACTCCCTGAAAAACATTCAGTTGGTCCAAAATGCTGAAGCATGAATACTGACAGGGACTACAAAGAGAAAGCACATTTCTTTTATATTTGGTTCTCTTCACTGGCTCCCTTCTAAATCCAGAATTGAATTTAAAATCTTTCTCATCACATACAAGGTCTTAAATAATGAGCCCCCATCTTAGGTTAATGACCTATAGTACTGTATCACCCCATTTGAATTCGGCCACTCTCTAGGTTGACCATTTTCATTTTTGTCAAGCCAGGTGGCATCTGTTCGTTCCTGACACATTACCCAGTCTATATAGCTACAGAATTTCAGCATGATTTTTTTTACTCACTGAGAACAGATTATTATTTTCCCACTTACATCATTACCCAAATTGATGTATGACTTTGGTTGTCCATCAGTCCAGTAAGTTCTCCACTGTGACTGAAATAAACCAATCCACAAGTCTGTAGTAGGCGCATCAGCCATTTGAGACAGTAGAAACACTGAAAATGTAGACAAAGATTTATGGTTAAGATATTTTCTTGCAAATAAAAGTGCACCGTGGTATCAGCTCTAACTTGTGGGTATGCCAAAACTGCACAACAAAAGAAATTCAGTGGTAGTATCATAAATGGACCACAAAAGAGGAGAAGGTAACAAAATCGAAATACATATTTGAGTGAAAAGAAAATGAAACAAACCTTCCACGTCTCTTGAAGTAATAGACACCAAGTTTCCACCCTTTTGTTTGCATTTTTCCCTTGCATCATGCCATGTTAAATTCTGATTGTCAATGATGCTGTAACACTAAAATTGAAAGATGAAAAAGATCAATATAGTGTTCCAAGCACTAAGAACATATTGCTTCAACAGTAAATAATAGAAAGATTAAAAGACATGAAAAGACATCTGACCTTAGAGTTAAATTTTTTCCAGGGGTGTGGACATCCACCTTTTGGGGGCACTGTAGGCACTGCGGCGGTGGTGTTTGCAGGTGTTGAGCTGCTGCGCTTACAAATGGACGCATACTCAAGCCCACAGCTGGAGTCATGCCAGAATCCTGCAGGCCAGGTCAGCATATTAAATTAATAACATTATTGACTTGAATGAATAATTTAAAAAAATCAACTTCAATCAATTTTGATATCACACACTCATTTTATCTTTTGTAGCATGTCGTCTTGAGTAGTTTCTTTTTCTACATACTTTTTACTTTTACTCCCTACATTCTTAAACAAATATCTGTATTCTACTTCTTACATTTTCAAAACAGACTCGTTACTATTGCTTTAACGCTTTAGGGTCAAGTTATTATTTTGTCCCTGCGAGCCTCAAAACATCAAACCGATTTGAAGCAGAAGTCAATCCTGTTCATGTGTTTATCACCAGAGGATGACTCGTAAAAAGAGATGGTGTGTGCCAAAGTCAGGGGTTAAAGGCGGGATGGTGTTTTTCTTTTTTTTTGTCATAACACCACAACAACTGCAGGTGTCCGTACGTTGCGGTTTAGGTACTTTAGCATCATAGCTAGTGCTACAATAGAGGAATGAGCATAATGGGAGTGACTTTTTTTTAAGTGGCAGGTAATTTCAAATTTCTAATGTTTCTATCAGCTCAGCAAACATCAGCAAACACACAAACTGTTTGTGTGCAGTTTTTTACACAGTGTGTTGCAAGCTAAAGGTCCAGCTGCTGTGATGAATTTAAAGTAAAACAGTGTGTGACTGTGACTACATTTCACTTTTTTTTAACTTTTACTTGAGTACGAAGTTGAATGTTTACTTCAACTCAACTTATATTTTCTAATAGTAGTATTTCTAGGATGTCTGTACTTTTGCTGTTCTTTGATATGTGTGTATGGGCTGTAAAGGATACGTATTACTGTGATAAAACTAGGGTGCCAGTAAAACTGAAGGGATAGTTGTGACAGGATGGCCTGAGTGCTATCATTGGGTGATACCACTTGTTCCGTGTATGTATTTCAGTGAAACTCAATCGTATTTCGGTACACTCACCATTGTGATATGTCATGAAAGCACAGTTCTCATCAAAATTCTTGAAGTCAGGTTGATTTTCCTGCCAACTTTGAAACAACAACTGAGAACCATCCATCCACCTTAATGTAACACAAAAAATACATTTGTTTAAATATATCTGTAAAAGATTTGTGACAATAATACCAAGACAGTGGCATACTGGGTTCATTAAAGATACTCTTATCCTTCTTCTTTTTGGTCACACTTTTGTTGTTTTTAGCTGTAATAACTGAGTAAAATTGGTGGGAAAGATTACAAATAGGAAACTCCAAAATTTTACAAATACAGACAAAGCTTCGCAAATAGAAATGCAAATAGATCTGCATTTGCAGTTAGAGCTTAAAGTATTTGGACAATAAGACACATTTAATTTCCCCCTTTGTGTATCAGAACAGTAGATTTTAAATCAAACACTCAAGATATGACTGACTGAAATTAAAACTGGTATACTTATCTGACATGCTGCCTTGCACTAAGTACTTTTTAACTTGCTGTTACATAAATTTAAGTTAATTGTAAATTGCATTTACGTTTTTGTCACTAAATTCATACTCACTGAAATGTTCCATCAAGATCTACAGATAGGCCAATCCAAGAATTCTGATAACCTGTTGAAATCTGCACAAAAACATGGATACATAGGAAAAAACTGTCGGTGTCTGGATGTTTAAGTTTTTGCAATTATAACTTAAATACCCATTGCCTTGCTAAATGTTTTACAAATGCCATTGCTCACCTGTTTCCATAAAAATATCCTTTCTGCTTCACTGTTGATAGATACCAGGTCACCATGCCTCTGTCTGCAGAACATACGGGCGTCCTCCATGGCCATCGCCTTTTTGTTAATGTAATACTGAGCCCCATTCCATTCTAGCCACCCATCAGATGTCGTGTTATATTCTGAGAATAGATAAGAAATGCGCAATCTATTTCAGTAAATGTGCAAATAGTATGACCCTCTTTTTCAAAAATTTCAAAGAAAACGTTATAAAAACATGTTTGGAAACTACTGTAAATGTGTTAGATAAGCAAGTCTTAAAAAAATAACTTTTTTCATGACAAGCTCATGTTTTTCCAGCTGTTCACAGTGAGGCTTTAAAATTATGAACAACAACTGCATGTTTTCCATCTTTTCCTCAAACTACACAATCCAATTTTCCTTTCTTCACTGTGAGGTTTATGCTCATACAGTATCAATGAGATCTGGTTGTGGCAGATGGCCCCGCTTCCCTGAGCCTGGTGCTGCCAGAGGTTTCTTCCTGTTAAAAGGGAGTTTTTCCTTCCCACTGTCGCCAAAGTGCTTGCTCATAGGGCCTCATATGATTGCTGGGTTTTTCTCTGTATGTATTATTGTAGGGTCAACCTTACAATATAAAGCACCGTGAGGCAACTATTGTTGTGATTTGGTGCTGTATAAATAAAATTGAATTGATAAACAAATAAACAGTTCAACTATGAAAAAACAGTTCAGTCTAATTCAACTGATCCTTGCACCGTCAGATACAGAGAAAAATAAAGGATGGTCAGCCATTAAATCCTTTCAATGGGCTTCACACACTCATAGAACTGATTTTCTATTTACTATTACTATTCTCACAGGTTTTTATCTTGTTTTGTTTTTTGAAACCATTATTCCATTATTTTTTGAGATTTCAGAAGAGCAAGTCTAGGTTCTGTGTCATATTTTGGATTTGTTGTTGGATTATGAATGGTAAACAGCCTGTATTTGTATAGCACTTTATATAAAAAACGCATTTCATATGAGTTCATAAACATTCATACATTCATATATTCATTGTACATGTGTCCTAGCAGACACAGCTATGGTATCAATTTCAAAAATCAAAAGTGTTTTCTCAAGTTATCGCATTCACAAACACAACACCCATCCATCCCATCTGCCTGCCCAGTGGGGGTCACAGCAGTACCCCATCAGCCTTTAACAGCTTAGTGGTAAAAACAAAACAAAACACAATAATATTATTCAGCCTATTATTATTATACTTATTATATTATACTAGTTTCAAATATTTGCCACGCAGAAAATCAGCATCCATGAGACATCAGCTTCCCTGTCAGCATAGTATGAATAATGGTCTCAGCCTGGTAATCCCAATAGAAAGTCAACAGTCATGTAAAGATGCTGTATGGCAGTATGGTCAAATTCCTCAATGCGCTGGTGCACTTACCAGGGGTGACAGGGTCTGGAGCCGGCTTTAGGGTGACTCCTGTGAAGCAACAAAAACAGAATATTGTTGAGTTACTAGTGACCAGCTTGACATTGTGAGAATACATACAATAATCTTCTGGTCCAAAAAAAAAATGCTACATAAAAGAATTGTATAACTGTGACCATGATGTACCTGCGTGGACTTGACAAATCCAGTTATTGTACTTCTCACAGTGCACATCGCTCCAAAAAAAAGTTTTCTGCCAATAATTGGATTTCATTTCAGCACATGATTCAGCGTTATTTTCATTGTTTGGCTCTCCATCACTCCACTCTTGAAAGTTTACCTTTATACAAAAATAAGATAATTATGAATAGTAGCAGTAGTAATAGCAGCTGTAACATCAGTAATATTAATAATCATCATCTTGATCGTTATCATCATTTAGGCTACATAAACCATTGTAGAGAGTTAAAAACTGTAAACTCACCGGGGATCCATCGCTCCATACATAACCTGTGTCTGGGTCAGGAGCACTAAGTCCAATCCAGTATTGATTAGGCCTATAATGGACAAATGTATGTTCTAAATGTTTATACTTGTGTAATTTCTTTTTCTTGCTCAAAGACCTTTTATTTACTTATTTTGTGTAAATATTTTGTAAAAACATGTTTCCTTTTTTCTATCAGTGATTATGCTAATACGCAACTCATTGCTTGAAAATGATAAGAATCTATGACTGCCACTAATGTTTGACTTAGGCTGGAGGTGTACTTTACGAAAGATTTTTATCTTATGTAGCTCTGATTGTAGACCAGATAACACCATACCATGAAAATTGCCTTGGTAGTAAATCAGCACTGCTGTGAATGCTGACTAGGTCTCCTCCAATGGCTCTGCAGTAATCTCTAGCCTCGTACCAGGTCTTTCTCTTTTCTGAAGCCTCTGTAAAGATCTTAAACAAAATATAAGAAACTGAATTGTGATCTAAAGCTTTGGTAATACTTGTACATTCAGAACTACATGCTAAACATGGGCAGTCATCTCTGTTTTCATGTCATCCTTGTTATGAATAAGATCAACAGAATAATCATATCCTTCTACAACAGAAAGGATTATGAGTAGGGAAGTGACAGAAACCCATGTGCAGAAATGATCAGAAATCACTAACAAAAAGGAAAGTCAAGTTGTTGGCAAAAAGTCACAACTGTCACAGATATTGTGAAATTGATGGGACACACACTCAAAACAAAATTAACATGTTTTTCCTCTGCTTATTCAGCAAGAGTTTTTTGGTTGTTTTTTTCATTTTTTTGGGCCAGTTTTGAAGTTGGCTCTGCAATCCAAACGGTGATATTGCAGCTAAGCTAAGAGGAATACCATCTATATTTACATTCTGGGATGTTATCACAAGCCTCTTGTCATGTGTCAATCCATACTTTCTTTTGCATAAATGATGCAAATGACAAGTGTAGTTTGGTTGGAATGAAATCTTTCCTACATAAAACTGATCACAAGGTTGTGAAGCTTTTCTTTATTTGTTTGATTTTTTTGGGGCTTATAGCAGCACAACGCATTCTGGTTTCAATAATTTTTCGGAGTAAAATAACATCGGACATGTCTTTACCCATTTATTCTTTTAACAAAACCAGTTAATATTGGTCCTCTGCTACTGCCTTGAATCAGGAAGAGCTCAGGGTAACTTACTTGTTTATAGTGCTACTATACTGCTGCTCTTGGTAACTCTACTGTTTGTAAAGGGCTTGTAAAAAATAGAGACTGCAGAATACTTAAGTCATGTACTACTGTGGCAACCACAGTACCTTATAACAGATGCCTCTGGATTGCATCTTAATCCATCCATCTGTGCAGTTAGGCGTGGCAGTGGTTGGTGGAGCTGGGGTTAAAGCTGCCCCCTCTGCCAGGTGTTTACAGATGTATTTTTCCTTATTGGTACAAGACAACACATCCCAAAGGCCAGCAGAATGCCCAGTTGCCATAGCAACACAACCCTGCACGTGACCTTGTGTTATAAAAGAAAATGTTAGCTGTCATTTGTGAAGACACCTGCCAACTATAGTTTACATATAGATCATGAGATTGTTTCATTACCTGGCATATGAGTGTTCCAGTGAGTATATCTCGCGTAGGCATTGTTGGTCCACATAAAATATTCTCTGTTTTTCAGGTTTGAGAGACCTATCCAGAAGTGTTTCTCTGGCCTCAGCCCCACCAAGCTTACAAGGAAAGTATTATCCACCCTGGAAATATTTACACAAGTTAGATTATAGACTGCCTGATGCAAAATTACATATACTTTTTTTTTTTTATGAAAACTATTTTACCCAGTTGAAACATCAGCTAAGTAAGAGTTTGAGCTCTTGCAGTCATCGTTGGCTTCATGAAACGTCTTTGTCTCAATCCCTACAAAGTAGCAGTAGGATCCATGTCTTTTCCAACCCTGCATTGCAGAGAAACAACAGTTGGAGAACTATTCAAGCCTGTCATTAAATGTTGTCTTTCTGTCTTTTTGTGATAGCAAGGAGTAAAACACCAGAATGCAGAATCACACTGCATCAGTGTGACTACTTGTTTACTCTACAGGAATGTGTTTTTTTTTCCTAAAAATGACTAAATAAGATGTTCTCTTAATCTTTTTACTATAAACAGCACCCAAATACAATGTTTCATTAGGCATCATACCTTACGTGTATGCTGGTTTCCCAGCTATTTCTTGGACCACAGGCACAAAAGTAGCTTTAGACATTGTGCCATTTGAAATATACAACAGCCTTTACAAAACAGAAACAGATAACAGAATGTGTGCATTCGACCAACCAGATGCAGACATTCTTTGGAAAATATATGAAAGGTTCACATACAGTTTTGCAGCCTGCGTTCAGCTCCACTTCATCTCCAGAGGGTTCAGAGTCACTTGTCTTCATGCAGATAAAGCCATGTTTCTCGTCACACACACGGTCAGCCCAGTTTCCATTCTGCAAGAATGAAAAGAACAAAATATATGTGGAAACTGAAATTAACAAGAGATAGACAGGCTACGGTGCATATCATAAAACAAAGACCTAATTTTCTGGATATTAATGGACCTTCCTGGCATCCAGTGTTCTTTAACAGAACTGCATAGTTTTACAGAAAAAAGCTGGCGTGTCACAATCATCAATAATCACTCCCACACTGTGCACCTTACCTCCCCTCTGATCAGAACACAGTCTTCTTGTTCAGAGGTGACAGTTGGTTCCCGAGAGTCCCAGCTAGTGTAACTCACAGGAGAATGATCACTCCAGACAAACAGCCTCTCTCTGTTCCTATCGTTTAGTCCAATCCAGAGTTCATCAGTGGATGCTGCAGACAGAAAATAACATTAATTGTTGTATAATCTTCTTGATAAATTCTGCTCATTTGCTACTCTTTAGATGTTACTTTTGCACTTAAGTTTTAGACTGCTGCTAATCGTCTGCCAGAATTGCTGGACTTGTAAACAAACTTCATTATATGTGAGATGTGCAGCGATACAGGGATCAGTCAACAGAAAGTGACTGAATGCTTATGAAGTGACAAAATCCAAAACCTAGTTTTGTGTCCAAAATAGCAGGATTCCCAAAGTGACCGACTAATGAACGGTCATTATCCTAAAGAGGTAGTCTGCATGGTAGGTCTGAAGTGACTGTTAGCTGTGGTGAGAGCCCTGGATTTTCTGAAGGTGGTGGACGGCTATACATTTCCAAGAATAGATTGCTCACAATTGTATTATCTGTGTAGCTATAAAATAAGATATTCATTAATATCTGTGTTTGAGTGTGTTTTTAACTTTTCAGTGTGATGTTCAAATTAGACATTTTAACAATTAAGGGGAGACAACTTCTAATGACTAAATTACAAGCTGAACACTTCCTGGAGTTTTAACAGTTAACTTGATATTTATGTGGGATTTGCATCTTTCAGTTAAATGGACTGAAGTGAATTTAGGGCTTGAAGTATAAAGGAGCATAAATTTGTTCAATATTCAATCACCTGACTTCTTGTGACTTTAGTTTTATGAGGTTAAATGTGTTCTCAAAAATGGACTATCTGATATAATCATGTTAAATCGAAAATAGAATTGAATTTAAAATCCTTCTCATTACGTACCAGGTCTTGAATAATCTGGCACCATCTTGTCTTAATGACCTTATCACCCTATTAGAGCACTTCGCTCTCAGCCTGCTGGCTTACTTGTGGCTCCTACAGTAAAGTTAAACTTCATTCAGCTTCCAAGCCCCCTCGACTATGGTTCAGAGAGGTAACTGTTGCTGTGATTTGCGGTATATAAATTACATAAAACTAAATTGTTGGTCTTTTTCTTAGATCAACATGTTTGTTTGTCTAGGATTCACACTGTATATGACAAATAACATTGTTATGATTTCACAACTTTGCAACTTGGAAAAAACTTGCGTTCGGCATTGGTATGTGATCATTGTTAAGGTTTGGGGTGTAGGGTTAGGGTTTGGTGTGTGGTGTGATGGTGTTTCCACATCACAACACTATGACATCACTGCAATGTGATTGATAACTTGCAATGTTGAAACTGGACAAACATTACTTTTGTTGATCCAGGAACATACCAACACAATCATATTAGATCGTGCCTCAAAAATATTTCAGTTACTCACCAGCAATTGCATAAAAATTGCATAAATATGAAAAGTGTTGGGTGAAGGTTATGTTAAAGGAATGCAAATGGTGCTCAGAAGTTTTTATTGCCATACCATATCCAAGTTGAGAGATGATGAAGCTTTGGTCCTCCACATTACGAATGGTTACTAGGTCTCCTCCTTCTTTACGGCAAGCTTTCTGAGCATCGGACCATTTTTTTGTTTCATTACGATAAAGGTAAAAGCAGTGGCCATTGTAGGGGATCCAGGGTGCTGTACAAAATCCACTCTCGGGAGCTATGAAGCATAAGAAGAACAAAAGAAGATCAAAGAAATAGAGTCAATCAAGTTTTTTAAGAGAAGGGTAGAGAAGGGATTTTTTTCTATACCTTCAGTAGGTGCATCCAAAGGTCCTTCACTGTAGCAGATGTATCCCAGTTTCTTGTTGCATTTTGAACTTTGCCAAGAAAACTGAACAGCGCCATCAATAATTCCACACTTATATCCTGGATTAGAAACTGGATGTCCTACAGAGCAGTGATGGTAAATGATACTTGTCACTTATGAGATGAGACTCGGCAACTTTCAATTCACAGGATTCTCAAGATATTTAGAAGCATTGTGTGTATTGTGTATGAGCATTTTAGTTTTCGTGAAAATGAAATAGAAGCCTATGATTTCTACCCAAGAGTGATAAGGTTATGTGACACACATATATCAATAAAAAAAGATGACAAACATGATCAAGATGACTTGCTGAAATATTTTAACAACAGTAATGTAAATTATCATCAGAATGGTAACACAAGCTCCTGAAACTTGAAAAAAAACTTACCTGAGCTCCCAATTCAGATATGCATAAGGATTCCCATTAGACCACTTCCACACATAATCTAAATGCTGGAAGATCAGTCCAACCCAGAGCTTGTACTCCTGTCCCCAATTTGTCCCTAATAGTGCTGTCAGTAGAGTTTAACAGACAAAAGAGACAGAGAAAACAAAAGTTACCAAGTGTAATACTCAAAACATAATCATCAGCTGGAGCAGTGTCTACAGTCTACAGACCACAACAACTTTAATGTTTCAAGTTTTAGCTATTTGTAAAACTCTCTCAGCTTAAATGAATTGTTTTGTTTTCAATATATTCAGTGTAGTGTGGAGACTTGTCTCCTTACCTGAAATATAAGCCTGCTCATGAGGATTGCTGATACTGAGCAGGGAGGCACTCTGCTGTTTGCAGCTGGCATCAGCCTGATCCCAGGTCAGCGCTGACTGTGTATTGAGCTGATAAGATGCTCCTGTTGTAGGGTCTTTGTTCCAAGTTTCTTTGGCTGTGACACGAACACAGTTAAGGTATTATAGTGTTACACTGAACTTGTACCTCAAGATGGCGTTCCTCAACATTTAAATTTGGATGTCCAGGTTCTGCTTATTACTCTGAAAACCTGTATTAGAATTTGTTGTGTACTTACAGTTAGTTGGGCAGTAACCCCAGAGTTCATGATCATATTTTGTTTCAGCCGCACACCATTTACGGTTCCCTGGAGAGTCAAATGCAGTGCACTCCGAATACCAATTGCTTTTGTAAAAGAAAGGAAACATGCACGGCCTCCCAGCTGCATTTCCTTCAATGGTGTAAAGTTCTGAAGGACCAAAATAAGGAAAACATATAAGAAAAGAACAAAGAATAGCTTGAATAGTTTAAGCAAAATGATACTTTTATCATTTATCAACATCTTGTAATCATTTGACATCCTATCTTTGCATTACAACTGTTTTGGAACTAAATATGAAAATCTACAAATTTATTATGCCACTAATATTATTTCCATAAAAGTTATCATGAATTACTTTACAATGTATTTTTATTTATTTCACTTACCTGTATATGTTCTTGTGCAAGCACCGCTGGAAGTCCCAGAAATTGTAAGGTGGCTACTGGGCGCAACTTTATTTGAGAGCACGGCTGTGTTATCGGCAGTGAGGTCAATGTAAAGTTCTTGGCCTTTGAGAGCGATCACAGTTTCATTCTTGCATTCCCACTTTTGGAGCTCACTGGTTTCATCACAATCATACAGGTTTACTTCACTGCCCACAGTTTTTCCCTGAACACCCAGGCACTTGTTCTTATTCTGAACCAAAAGTCGATCCCCAGATGTCCAGCGAATGTCATTGCAGTGGTTATTTAATTTTACCAAACAAAAGCCAGTGGCCCTGTTAATTAGTTGAAATTGGGAATCTGTAGAGAAAAAAATATTGAAAAACAGTACTGTTGGAGATGTAAAAAAAACAAAGAAAATCTTCATCCATTTATCATACTTGCTTCAACTGATTTTTATATTTATAATTGCGGAAAGTTTACTTAAAGAACAGGTTTTATGATAAAATCACAAATAACTCATTGTAGAATTGTAAAAAAAAACAAACATAAATACAGGAAACGATGGAGGACACAACAATCTTACATTTAGTGCAGACAGGCAGGACGCACGATACTCTGTAAAAGCCTTAGCAAAAAATACAAGAAATAGTTGATTACCATCTGAAGCCAAACAAAGAAATGTTTGGATGAGAAGCACAAAGACTGTAGAAGTTATCCTCATTGTTAGTAGTCCCATTCCTGTGTCTTATATTTTCATATAAGCTAGTTGCACAGGAGCAAAACACAGGGTGTGAATGATTGTCAACCATGACTCTTTATATCATCCTGTCTTGGGTCATCATGATGAGTGATGTTTTACAAGAAAAAGGAGGGGAGGGTTACTGTTACTTTGCCTCACTGACTTGTATACTGATTTTCTAGCTTATCCAAAGAAACAAAAATGTAGACATTTTAAACCTGCAGTCAGCTGAGACTGAAGAAGTCACTTGGATGAGTGATGAAACTGTTTCTCCCACAAAACGCTACGTCCAGATGAACAGAATCAACTTTTGGAGACATACATGAACTAAACTTTGTATATAGTTTGCTGCTTAATTTGTTTTGAGTCTGTTTCTGGGTCCAGTAATTGTGAGAACATCGGCTCATGACACAGTATCAGTCAGAAATAAGAGCTTCCTCTTTTTGAAGAACAATTAATCAGTGCAGCAAGTCATTCTATTTACAGTCAACTCTGACATGATCAAATGCATAGTACGTCACTTCTGATCATGAGAGTAGGGTTGCTAAACAGGAAAAAAAAAGGTAAAAGAACTGTGCACTGTAAAAGAAAATCCTAATATAAAGATTTACTGGTATTTTACAGTTTTGTACTGTTCTTCTAGAATATCATTAAATTTACATAATAGACTGTGATTTTACATTTCAAATGTAAATTAACGTAAAATCACTGTAAATGTAATAAAACATAATTTTCTTGTTTTTTAAATGTATTTGTCTGTACATATGCATATTTAGATTGTTAAAATACATTCACAAATGTATCATAATTTCACAAATATTTGTCCGTTATTTGAAAGATTGAACTGTTAAATTCAAATGTAATGCTATGGAAAAATATATAAAATGATTCTTATAAACTTTTTTTACATCAAATAATATATATTGCTATTTAGGGCGATTTGTGGCTCAAGAGTTGGCAGTTCGCCTTGTAATCAGAAGGTTGCCGGTTCGAGCCCCGGCTCGGACACTCTCGGTCGTTGTGTCCTTGGGCAAGACACTTCACCTACCACCTACTGGTGATGGCCAGAGGGGATTATAAGCGGAATTGTAGCAGCCTTTGTAGGGTCTCCAAAAAGCCTGCATATGAATGCAATCCATTATTATTTAAACCAACTGTTATGTAATTTCTGTACATTTAAGTATTATTATTCATATTGCCGCATTCATTGACCTTGTTTATAGGTAATTTCATTGTTTAATCACATTAAATTGTTCCTAATTTAATGTTTAAAAGCACTTGAAAAAGGCAAAATCCCATGTAAAATTAGGGCAACAAACTGTATTGTTCATTACTGAAAATAACCGTATTTTCTGAGAAGTTATTTTCTGTTATTTTCTGGTATTATTTTGGCGCCCCAGCTGCGAATATTATTTCTTGTTTTTTTTACAGATGTTTTTTCTAACAGTGTGAGCAGAGGATTTTCTAACAATTTCACAGTGTTTTTACATACAGTAGTTCACCCATTTAAACTTATTGTTATACGGGTGCCTTATAAGGCATAAGAGAAAAAGACCTAATTGAAAGTCTAAATCCAGGCAGTTTCACATCCTTACATGACAAACTATTTGCAGCTGAAGAGATTCATATATCATATATCTTTTTTTACGTGTGTTTTATTATCATGCTCATTCAAGCCATTTTGATTTTTTTTTATTGCATTACGCGTCATGCATCATTATGCATCATTAGTCTTGACATTACATACAGTTGTGGTTATTACAACAGAAAACCAGAGCTGTTTTGAAACTTCCTATGTGTGTCATCCTTTGTTGGCCTCTATACTTCTTATGCATGTAGATTCAGGGAAACGTAGGACTATATAAAAAATATAGCTAGCTCAAAGAGTTTTCTATTATCAAACATTTTAAATGTTGAAACAGTTTTATTAAGCTGGTATTTTGATAACTGCATTAAACATATAAGCCTTAACATCACCGATGCAGAACTTGGTGATCAGAGCTTGTGGCGAATTCAGTGAAAAAACTAAGTACGAACACAAATTCTAGATTAACAACAACAAAAAAAACAACAAACAAACAAACAAACAAACAAACAAACAAACAAACAAACAAACAAACAAACAAACAAACATAATTTAGAGTGATATTTAAAAAAAACAACTTCATAATTTTCCACTTTAACAAATTCTGACCGTCAGAATAATGAAAAGCTTAATTTTTGCAATTATTACCCTATGCTTGGAGTAGCCAATCATAGCAGCTGTGGATCATGTTTTGCTGTGCTTAAATCACAATTTGAATCCCTGTATCCTTTAACCATGGTAAACACAGTAATAATCAGCGCTAAATCAGGCTAATCAGCTGTGAAGATGAGGTAACACAACTGGATCGAGACTATGTGGACATGGACTTGATTAAATCAAAGCGAATCGGCTGAAGAGTCAGCTGAATGGGGAAAAACAAGATCTGAGGATAAGCACAACTGGATCATAAGATGCACTTATGAGTGGAAATCCCAATCTTCTTGATTCCTTACTCTAGCATGGCAAAAATTAGCAGAGAAAAAAACAAAAAATACAAAACCAAAGGTTCACAGTCTGAGCAGTGGCTCATTCCGCTGGCACTAAATATGATCCCTTTTAATCCAGCTATACAGCTATATATGAATACTTTATGTTTTCACCTTTCTTCTTTTAATCCTCCCCCCACCAAACCCCACAACCACCCCCCCCCCCCCCCTTTAAAACTCTGTTTGCTAACAACAATTAACTTAATTCAACTTCTTTTTACTAAATCATACATTTTTTTGAGTTAAATCTCCCTCCGTCCTACTTCTCTTGACTACAGGTAAA